TTTTTTTTTGCTTTATCATTCACTTTCGAACGGGATCGTCATGATCTTTCGATGAATATTTGGCCTCCACAACAACCGCGAGTTCTCTTGAGGTGCAAGAGGTTGCTTCCATTTGACGGGCAGCACTTTACTGGTATCAAAGTTATCTTTTGAGGTGGCAATATTATCGATTAATTGATCTGGGTTGATAGAAGGCCTGGTTAGGCCCGGTTTGTGATTTCGATTCGATCTTTGAACCTTATCGCTATTATCAAACCAAAGTGGAAAGAAGCATCATCATGTTAACATACCAGCGACTACTACCGCGGAGCGTCGCCAGCCCATCCCCGCTCCTGTGTCATGCCTTTAATGGCCCTAGCGTTCCGTCGATTGATTCAGCCATTGAGCCGCATGACCACTTTCTTTTTATCCAATGACAAAATCATTGCCCTGATGTCCTTCCAGTCGATGCCTCCCAAGTGGTATGAGTAGGCTTATACGCCTTCCTTCTGCTAGATGTTCAATGTGAGAAAGACTCATCTGGGAGGATAAAACGATGGAGGTAAAGTGCAGGGAAGTATTCCGAGGAAGGGGCTGGCCAACGCCCAAAGACTTCTTTCTTCATCCTTTGATACATTGTATGCGTGTCTTTTCTACTCTCAGTTGAACACTGATGTCAGCGTNTTAGGCATGCTGTAACATGTTAATTTCAGAGCGAAAATCAGAAATAATTGCTGTTTTAGGCGAAATTTTTGCCTAATTTGTTTATTCCATTGGCTTCAACAAGTGTTACAGAATATCCTATCACTTCCACAAAATAACAACGACATTCACTTCCTCGTGTTGCTCAGATCAATTGGTCTGAAAATGTTCTGATTGAAACTTTGTTAGAATTTTCTCGAGTAATCTAGCAATAAAGAGATTCATCTATTTCTCGGAAGTACGTCACTACGATTCTAAATGGAAGCCGAATGCAGGGCGCATTCCAAACACGAATATTGTCTGATTTCAGATTTCGTCCTTCCTCCTATTCTAGGTACTGTTCACAAATGTAATCTCAGCGTATGTGTACCTCTCAGATGTATGCCGTTCAATGCCAATCCCTCTACCTTGTCATATTTGTGAAATCTAGTGAACGTTTCCCCTTACCGGCCCCAACTCGCTCAAGGAATTACGTTTTGCATGGTAGCATGCGCACTCGGACGTGCACTTACTCATTCTGCTAATTTATTAAAAAA